TAAATTAAAAGTGTTATTTCAATATTACAAACGACACTCCAATTTTATTTATATGTAGAGATGTATAGATTACAGCGAAGATTTATTAACTGATAGAGTGACTTCATTATCTAAACACAAATTAGAGAAATAGGTACTTCCTGTTTGAATACTTATTCATACACTGCAATAACTCCACCTCGCACCTAATAACTCAATATAATGTCTCGTTACTGCACTGACAGATTGCACCCAAGGGAGTGCCAGTTCAGTGCTAGTTTAATTATATTTTGTGTGACAAATGCAACGCTATTTTGTTTGTATTTGATCTCTTTAATACTGTACGACTGATTTATTTTATTGCTCAATTTTTGTTTGAATTTTCTTTTTATGTTACTGGAATGGAATGGTAACTCATGCATAAACGAAATACTTTCCCGAGGAGATAAAAACGATCGCTCCTAAGAATATCCTTCAATTCTTGTCCCTGACAAACGACCAATAAGTGCTACAGGTAACACATCTGACAATAGCAATAAAAAAAATAAAAAAATATGGAATGTGGACTATATACATGAGCAGTAATACTAATCTCACATCATGTCATGTCATAACACCCAAACTTGGAGGCTCGGTGCGACTCCTTTACCCCGGCACTTGTATAGGGAGCAACGATTTCCGGGTTTGCCGTTTAAACTGGGTCGCCTCTTGCTGGGCAGGTTACTAAAACTAATTTAAGATAGAGATTAAATTAATTAAATGGTATAAACTTACCTTAACTTAACTGATGCCATACTTGGGGGTTGTTTTTTTTTTTTTGTAGTAGCTCTGGTGCGTTGCATTCGAGAGAACTGTAATGTCATTTCTTTGTGAGAGCTACACGCAAGTTTCTTACTCTTTTTTCTTGTATTGAGTTTGCTTTCTGATTGAGCGGTTGAATCAAAAAATATTATATTATTATTCCAAAGTACTTATATGTATTTATTTATTTAAATTTTAATGCACAAATACATTATATAAATGTACATATGGCGAACTTAACACCTAAGTGCGTTATCTACCAGTCAACCATAAGGCAAACTGAGAAGTTAGTAAGCGGCGCATTATAGTTTACAAACAGTTACGTAGTAACTTTACAATAATACATATTATTAGACATACATATTTACATACGACACATAAATAAATATAATATATTAAGTTTTTTTTTAAATAATAATTATATCTATTTATACACTAATATATTCAATTTGGGTGTAATCGGCGTAGAATCGTAGTCTGGTAGCCGAACAGTCAACAATGGGCATCCAAGCTATATTCGAAGTCTATTCATTGCCTGAAAATCCCTCGTTTAGAGGCAAAACATGTGTCGCAATATAGGTAGATCCTAATTACAAAAAGTTTCCAGTAGCCGTGGTCAGGTTTCTGCATAGAATTTTTGTGGTCTCACGCATGTTAAGGGTAGCGGAATTAAACAACATAATATAAATCAAGTAATTTGTAAACTAATGTGCTTCAATGTAAGTTTATTTGAATAAATGATTTTCTATTCTATTCTAAAGAAAGGTACCCCGACAAGTCAGCCATATCTCATTCAATTTCAAAGAAAATTGTAATACAGCTTTACGTAATGAAGTCCCTGAACTCATGCGTACATTCGTATGTTTTCTTGACGCGATGACAAGGGCAAATAGAAATGAACGGCTTCTATATATCATGTGGATATTTTCCCAACTCCTGACTCACCGTCAATGCATGCGGTTATGATGCCAAAAGGTGGGCGCGTGGGCGCATTATGGAATCATGAATGGTGGTATCATCCCTAGTTATATGAACTTGGTAATTTTACAAATTCACGTCCGTCGTGACGATTTTACCGTTTATTTTTTTATTGGAATGATTCCTGCGCTTACGGTTTACGCTGGTGGGACACGAGTAGAAGATGATTAGGAATTTTCAATAATGGATGTGAATGAAATGGTGCTTGTGACAATTTTACTGTATTTTTTTTAATGTTTGATAATGGAATGGTGTACCTGTCTGCGCTAACTGTTTACGCTGGCGGGACACCAGTAGAGGATGATAAGATGACATGAGGTCAGGTCAGTTAGCACATCGTGACAAATTCATCAAAAAATTATTATGATGGTTTCCAGAAACAACTGCGTAATGAAGTCATCAGTCCACATTACTAACAATCACCTTTCTCCCGAATTTCACTGTATTTACCGAGATAGACCTTGCAAATATCTTCTACGTGGGTCAATCTAAGCTATTTCAGACTCCAAGCAGCTTGCTTTTCTACAACTTTAGAACCCGGATGATAAAAATAAACAAGGCTTAAACCTTTAAAATGTCGTCTCTATAAGAAAGACAATAAGTACATAATTATCTGTCAGCTTGTTCCATTTTTACATCTAAGCCTGATGAATGGGTTCTCGGAGAAGTACATAACTGGGATGAAATAAAGAATGACAGTTTGTATGGGGAATCAACTATTTCTCAAGTAGGACATTTAAAACTTAAAGAAACGAAGTATTCAGTCTACGCAGATGAAGTTGCTGTTATCGGCTAGTTTAAAATTATTTTTGTCTACTTCTCAAAGATCAACTGACAATATTTCAAGTGCGTGAGAAATTTTAAGAATAATGTTGTTCTTTAATAAAAACTGAATTCAAAGTATTTGATCGATCAAAGTAAATCCAACTGAAATATTATTAAATTTAATAACGTTTCTTGATATATTTACATGTTACTAACTTTTGCCGTTTATTTCGCTTGTGTGACCACGAATGACCGCTATAAGAATGTCTGTATGCCTGAATGTTTATGGCCTACTCCATCTGAAATGAGTACGTAGAATTTACGGCAAGTTCTATTCATTAAGGCGGAAAGAAAATATAATGGAATAGAAAATCCTTTATTCCAACGAACGAATTTAAACACTTTTCACCTTCTTTTAATCTACCGCTCATTTGGAAACTGTCATCACAAAAAAATGAAGAAACTTGCGTGAGTAACACGTCCATTTAAATATTTTTTTAAATAATCTGATAACTTTACATTTCTAAGTTGAAACGTGTCAATACAAATTACCAACTAACACTTATTTATTAGGGTGACAAATAAAAAACTTCCGTATTTCTAACATTAGTTAAACTTTTTGTATGAATTTATATTTTGTAGGTTTTATCTTTCTAACTTCATAAATGACAAATTTCCATAAAAACTTTCATCCCCTATTTTATTTTATCGCCTTAAGGGTAACATTTTTACAAACTTTGAATGTCATATTTACTTATATTCAACCAACAGCCTAAAATATAAATTTCAAGCTTCTAGCTTTAAAAATGACGATATTTCCATACAAACCTTCATCACCCCTTTCAACCCCTTACAACCCTTTTTTGCGTAAAAAAGTAGCCTATGTCCTTTCTCAGTGTCTAGACTATCTGGGGATCACATTAAATTTAACGCCAAATTTAATTTAAATCACTTCAGTAGTTTTGTCGTGAAAGTGAGACTGACAGACAGACAGAGTTACTTTCGCATTTATAATATTAGTAAGAATATTATATGAAGTGCTATATCTTCATAATTCATATTTCATAGTGACTTTATAACGAGGAAACAATTACTGTTATTAACAAAGATGAAACAAAACGCAGAAAAAAATTTCAAAGTAACAAACGGTATTATAAACTCTTTAGTTTTTTTTTTATAATCTTTAAATAGATCCCGCTTTCGCTAATGGTATACGTTGGCAGGGCATCAAAGGACGAAAATATTAAGATTAATTAAAGTCACTTAGCCTACTGTGGACCTTATGACTTTTATATATTACTAGATGTAGCCGCGACTTCCTTCGCGTAGAATTTAACTTCTTTTTCTAAAATAAAAGTAGCCTAAGTTACTCCTTATTACATCAGCTACCTGCCAATAAAAGTCCCATCAAAATCGGTCCAGCCATTTCAGAGATTAGCCGGAACAAACAGACAGACAGACAAAAATTGTAGAAAATATTATTTTGGTGTATGTACCGTATTTCTATTCATATGCATGTAGTAAAAAACGATTATTTCAATATTACAAACAGACACTCCAATTTTATTTATATGTATAGACTAGCTGTCTAACACTGTTTTGCCATATAAATTAATATTCCAATAAATAAATAGGGTTTGTGGTAGAAGGGTGAAAATTTTAGGTTGTATGTATTTTTAAAGCCACAGTATAAATATAAATAATAAAAAAAAATTAGGTACCAAAAATAAAAAATGTTAGGGGTGGACAACCCTTATCAGTTAGGTGTATAAAAAATACATAGTAGTCGATTCTGAGACCTACTGAATATGCATATGAAATTTCATAAAAGTCAGGCAAGTTTTTCGGAGTAGTATAGTAGCTAATATTGTGACACGAGAATTTTATGTATAAGATTCGTTTTATCATCCTCCACTGTGACACCAGTATACCGTAAATCTTTAGCGCAGTCGACAGCATCATTCATTTTCATCCATAAAGAATATGGTACAAAAGGCGGCCATATATTTATTTTTTATTTATTTATTTAACTTCAATGCACACAATATACAAAATATAGTAAAGTACATTTGGCGGACTTAACACCATGCGGCATTTTCTACCAGTCAACCATTGGTGGTGCAGAGAGTAAATGTTGGCGGTGCAAATATAATAAATGATAAATAAAATGCAATAAATAATAAATGATAAATAAATACATACATACACACTTAAAATATAATGTCTTCTAAGTGTGTATGTATGTATGTATGTGTATATGTATATATGTATATGAGTGTGTGTATGCATATGTGTATCTATATATATATATATGTAAAATGTACCTTTGTCAAGTGTGTAAATGTAATAATGGTTGGCAATAAATGTTTTTTCTTTCTTCTTTCTTTCTTTCCTTATCGCTAATGGAATCTCATCCAGACAAGCTTTGGGTAGAGTAAAAAAAAAAACAAAAGTAAAATATATTTGTATGCTTGCAGGGCGGTGGTACGTGAGCTGGTGGAAACTGAGGAGGAGTTCGGAAGGGACATGCAGCAGGTGGTGTCCAGGTATATGAGACCCATGGACAAGGCTCGGACGCCCAAACCTGTTTTCGACAACAGAGAACTATTATTTTCCAACTTCAGACAGATCGCAGAGTTTCACAATACGTAAGTATTAATAATAATAATAATAATATAATCTCAGGACAATTCACACCGCGCCATCTAGACCCATGTTAAGCTAGCTAAAGCTTGTGTTATGGGTACTAGATAACTGATACAAATACATAGATATTATACATAGAAAACACCCAGACCGATACAAACAATTATACTCATGAATACAAAATGTTTGTGCCGTGCGAGGAATCGAACCCGCGACCATCGGTCGTAAAGCGGTGTGCTAGACCACTAGACCACCGAGGTCGTCAAGTATTGGTGCCACATATATAATTTAATAAATAAATGTAATATAATATGTCATAAATAACTTTGGGCAATTCACACAGCGCCATCTAGTCCCAACCGTGTGTTATGGGTACTAAACAATTGATACGCTGGAACCCAAGTTGTCTCGGATAGTGCGGTTTCAGAGGAGCTTCCTCCCGCGTACACTTACATTGTGGAATGATTAACTTGCCGAGGTTTCCTCAAGAAACAAGAGAGCATGGGGTTTTATCAATAAGAATATTAAGGTTCTTAAGAGTCGGCAATGTGCACGTGACAATCTTGGTGTTTCAGGCGTCCACAGGCTATGGTAACTAATTACCATCAGATGTGCCAAATGCTTGTTTACCTCCATAATAGTATAAAAAAATACTTAAGTACGTAGTTTTTTGTAAATACATACATTCCTTTATCCTATTATCCTATATTCCTTCATTAGACATACAGACCTACATAAGTGTACAATGTAAATTAACTGACTTTTAAAAACAAGAAATTTAGTTGAGTTTCTTGCAAGTTCTTCTCTATTGAATCTTTGTACTGAACTGGACGGTAGGGAAAATAAATGATTATATAAAAAACAATACTTTCATAAGCTGCTAGGACAGTAGGTCTGTAGGATATCTACATGAATATTTTTTTTGTCCTATATGCATAAATGTTATTTTATTTAAATTAATTTGTGGGTGATGACGTAACGGTATTACAGCCAGCCTGACGTACCGTATTACCGTGACGTGTCGTATAATATTCGGGAATACCATTCTAACCACCAAATAATACCATTTGTTTTGTGGCAGAACTCTACTGGCGAGCATAAAGTACTACGCAGGAGAATAGAATAGAATCATCATCATCTGCTTCTTCCTTATCCCATTTATTTAGAATTTAGAGAATAGAATAGAATATAGAATAGAAAATCATTTATTCAAATAAGCTTAATTTAAGCACTTTTGAATAGTCATAACAATTTTTTTTTATCTACCGCTCATTCGGACGTAGTTTCTTGCTCGAAAGTTTCTTGCTCGAAGAACGAGCAAGAAACTTTCTGAACCAACAAACAAACAAACGGTAGATAAAATAAAGTTGTGTGTATAAAAGAATAAATAAATATACATACATGTATTGTGAGAACAACTCACTTAGTCTTCTTTGTGAGTCCTGATGGAATGGTAATCTCGTCAGCCTAATGTACCTTATAATCTGTAACCTAAAACCAACTAAAACCTTATAATCTTATAGTTAGGTAACCAAGAGCCCTGGGGCAAATCAAAATACATAACAGTTTTATTAAAACGCACATATCGCTATCCGTCAAATTGACAACACTGCCAACCCACAGAAAGAATTTAAGGGAATTCCAAAGGTATAACTTTCGAATTCCTCTCAACTGAGTTGCCATGATTAAAATCGGGTTGCAACCTGTCATATTAATTTGGAAATGGGAGAAATTTTCAAAAGTTCAGTTCTAGAGAGTTTTTTGGTAAGAGTTCGTGGGCCCCATGAGCTTGAGAGCCACGGAGCACGGCCCCGCGTAGCCCCTAGGTAGCTACGCCACTGCTTATAATTCAATTTATTTTGTGGCAGAACTATACAGGATGACATAAAGTACTATGCAGACATGTGTGTAAAAGAATAAATAAATATTATGAGAAAACTCACTAGTATTCCCGCCAGAGTTACGTATCTTATAATATCATTTGTTTTGTGATAGAACTCTGCTGGAGGGCATAAAGTACTACGCAGGAGAGCCGCGGATGCTGGGCCGAGCACTACTGCGTATGGAGCGCGAGTTCGACAAACACGTCGCGTACTGCCGCGACGAGCCGCTCGCCCAACATTTGCTCGCCACCGATCCTGTTGTCAACAAATATTTCCAAGTTAGTCCACTTTTATAAGATGCCTATACTAATATTATAAAGCTGAAAAGTTTGTTTGTTTGAATACGCTAATTTAAGGAAGTACAGGTTCGAATTGAAAAATTATTTTAGTGTTGGATAGTCCATTTGTCGAGGAAGGCATTAAGCTACATAACATTACGCTACGAATTTATCACGATGGTTTCCAGGGAGAACCGCGTGGTGGCCAACCTGACATGGCACATTCCTAATAATGGGGTCATGAGTTCACATCACTAACAATCCCCATCCGTCGTAGGGATTAAAGCAGAGCAGTCCCTACAGGCAGCACTCGTTCACGACTATGACGGATGAGCTAGCCATCATTACGCTCAAACACATGAGCCGCACCGGCCGGACATTTTACTTAGCATGACTACTCAGGACACTTAACCACGACAAAACTACTTAAAACTTATAGAGGTTTTTTTTTTAAGGTTAATGTAATGCTGGACCCGTATCCGCTGAGATGAGCATGAGGTCTGGTCAGTTAGCCCATCGTGACAAATTCACCAAGTATTTATCACGACGGTTTCCAGAGGGAACCGCGTGGAGCTCGACCTAACATGGTGCATTGCTAGCAATGGGAGTTACTAGTTCCCATTACTAACAATCCCCTTCTCCCCTCCGTATGGAGGTTAGGTATTAGTAGTTTGTAAAGTACAAAATAAAAATAAGTTATAATTTTATACCCAGCGCCATCTATTTCCAATGTTGAGAAACATTAGTTGTGTAACTAGTGGCGCCATCTGTGGAGTATATTGAAAAATTCCTCATTAATATCAACATTATGTAAAAGCGACACCTAGTGAATTCAAAGCAAACTACAAAGACTATTTGAGTAAACTGACATTTTAAGGTTCTGTCGTTTCGTTTCGTTTAAGTATTCGTTTTCGACAATAGAGGGCGCATGATGTAAAATTCATAATTATAGTATTTTAATAAAAAACTGCTTGTAAATCTTAGGGATTATATGTATACATTTTTTTTTAATAATTTGAAATACAGTCAGCCTTCAGTCCACGTACGCAGTACATATTATGGCCCGCCCGCGCTTTTACTTCGTTAGGTCTTAGCATTTGTTTTTCTTAGGGCTATTTTATTTATTGATGAATATGAGGTATACCTGCTGGCGGAGCACTAATAGAAAATTATGCGATTAAGGTAATAAGGCGAAGTTAGGTATAAAAATAATATCTCAGGACAATTCACACAGCGCCATCTAGTCCCAAGCTGGGCAGAGCTTTTGTTATGGGTATTAGACAACAGATATAAAACTTTTTAAAAAATTGTGTTTTTTATAAATACTTTTATAATATACAGCACCCAGCACTCAAACAATCAACTCATAAATACAAAATATTTTCCTTGACCTTCCGTAATCATTTAACTGATCCGAACGCATATCATAGTTAATAAACTAGGAATGAAACTTCGCTGTTCTTCCTGTATACCAGTGATTCCCAAAGTGGTCTATATCGACCTCCAGAGGTCTATGACAAACTGCAAGGGGTCTATGACAGCGGTCATCTTGTTTTTACTTTATGTTTTTAACACTAAACTTTACTACAGTTAGAAATTTCAAAATATCAATACCAGGTAAGAATGGATGTCTACCCAGAACCGAAAAATATGGCAAGGGGTCTACGACACAGTTTGGGAACTTCTGCTGTAAACCATTGTGGAAGAAGGAACATTAACAAAAGGTTACATTGTTAACAATTCTGTTCTATATACCCAGTATAACTCACAATCTCTTTGCCGACCTATTTTTCAAAGTAATAGCGTGATATTACATATCCAACAACTTTTAAGGTAAATTATAAAATGTAAAAACTTTCGTACCTATAAATAATCTGAAAATATTAAGAATATTATCTTTAAATACAGGTATAAAGTATAATATAATTTTATTTTTAAAAAGTTTTTTTTTCGGACGTATCTAATGCTGTTGGCCGCAGCTGGCCTTTACAGCTGCACCGGACGATAGGGGCGAATGCAGATGACACTCCAAACCCATGGAAGGACTTATGGAGCGGCTGAAGGCCAACACCCGCCTGACGGATACGACTTTCCTCAGACGGCACAGCTAGGGGTTCGAACCTCGGCTCAGGCCGTCGTAATATCGATCTTCGTTTGAATTGGACGGGGGATCGATAGGAGGGGTTTAGAAAAGTCTAGGTACAGTAGCTACACGCGCTTTACGGTTTTGAAATCACGCCTTTGACGTAATATCGCATGATATCTTAGTATAACCCTCAGTCTCTCTAATATTATAAACGCTAATATCTGTGAGTATGATAGGATGAATAGATGGATGTTCGTTACTATTTGACGCAAAAACTACTAAATAGAAATTAATGAAACTTTACAATAACATAGCTTATTCATGAGAATATTAAGTATTTAATTGAAATAGTGCTAATTTATAGTTTGTATTCACACATTTAAACTTAAAAATGTAAAGTAAGAATAAAATTATTTAAAACAGCAAATTTCTTGCTCGTTCCTCTTGTGATGAGACAGCTTTCCGAATGAGCGGTAGAAAAAAAATGTGATGACTATTCAAAGTGTTTCAAAGTAAGTTTATTTGAATAAATGATTTTCTATTCTTTAATAACACATAAACTATAAATTTCATGCAGGTAAAATCGCGAGCACTGCTAGTACTCGTATTTACATGTGCTGATACGCATTCGCATATTTTACCATAACATTTAAGACTACTAAAGATTAACCAGTTAACACTGTAAGCTGTACAGTTGGCTATAGCCGGGCGCCGCGGCTGCCGACCGTTAGGCACCCAGCCAAAACTAGAATAGTCGAGATGCCGTCGCTTAGCGTATGATTGCTGTCAATCCCGTCTTCATATTTTTTTTTATGGATGATAATGGAATAGTGCACCCGCTTGCGATAACGGTTTACGCTGGCGGGGCACCAGTGGAAGATGATAAGATGAGGTCAGGTCAGTTAGCCCATCGTGACAAATTCACCAGGAATTTATCTCGACGGCTTCCAGTGTGGTCGTCAAACTGACATGGTACATTCCTAGCAATGGGATCTTCATTCCTCCTCATTACTAACAATGCCCTTGATTATTACAATTTTTTTATATAATATTACTGTTTTTTATATAAAAAATGACAATTTAAGGATATCTTTTGCCTTATCAATGCTATGCAAAATATAATATTATTTTAAATGGTACACAAATAATCCACAATATTATTTGGCTATGGATATAACAAATAATTCGGGAAGCTCCGATATATCTTTTCGTCCAAATTACAGCAGTCTCAAGACAAAGATTTACGAACAATGTGTATTGCCAGTGATGATTTACGACACAGAGACGTGGTCGGTAACTATTGGCCTCATAAATAAGCTCGAATGGAGAGTGCTATGTTTGGAGTTTCTCTGCGTGATTGTATCAGAAATGAGGATATCCGCAGAACAACCAGAGTAAGACATATGCCCGAATAATTGTGAAACTGAAGTAGCAATGGCTGGGGCAATTAGCTCATAGGTTAGATTGCCATTGGGGCAGTAAATTCCTCGAGTGGTGACCGCGGTTAGGAACACACAGCGTAGGAAGGCCTCCGACAAGGTGGAGTGACGATCTGGTCAAGATCGCTGGAAAACGTTGAATGAGAGCAGCGCAAGGCCGATCGTTGTGGAGATTTTTGTGGGAGGCCTGTGTTCACCAGTGGACGTCTTCCAGACTGAAATGAAGATAATGATGATGATAACAAACAACGCGTCTAAAATAATAACAAGGATAGTGTACTCATCCATTACTAGCTAATGTTCAATTTGGGAACTGTTTACAAGAAAACATATAATGGATTATTGCCAACTGGCTGGAGTGTACTTACTATAGAGATGTTTCTCTTGACCTCTAGAGAAAACAACATAATAAAGTTATAATAAATGGGCATTAAAATGCATACAATGCAACACGTAGATTACTTGGCAAATTGTCTTGAATAAAGGTCGTTGACACCTGCCAGAGAACTGGCGATGGGATGAGAATGAAGTGCATATAAATGAATATAGTTCCACAAACTTATCTGACCCGGTGAATCGCTTCATCATTACTACATAGTATAAAACAAAGTCGCTGTCGCTGTCTGTCCGTCTCTATATATGCTGAAATCTTGAAAACTATGGTTTTTTTAAAATAGATAGTGTGATTCTAGAGGAAGGTTTATCTAGATTTGATGTTCCTTGGAGAAAAACACAGCTGGCCAAGCAGACTCGTTAATCGATTTCCTGACCTGGACATATTTACATGTGACTTGTTGAATTTTAGCAAAATGGCAATGGATTTCCTAAATAACCCGTAAAATTGTCGGTAATATTGTTTTAATATATATTTTTTTGTGTAGTTATTAATATTTCATATTTTGTACATTTTCTCCTAAGCGAGTATATTGGGAAGCTGTAAGGCTTGCTTAGTTTGAAGTCAATGCGAAGCCGGGGCGAGTACCTAGTATTAAATAAATTACTTAATTATTATTTTATTTAATTTAGACCATTAGCATGTGTGAGACCACAAATATTCAGTGCAGAGAATTTTAGCCACTAAGCAACTTGCTTTTTAAGCTGTGGTTCAGTTGCAAAGTGCAGATTAGGCAGTGAATGCAAGATAAGAAACATGACTGATCTTAGTCCACCAGCAACTGACGAGGGGTATCGCGATCGTCATGGGTATCATGATAACGTAATTTCTATAGTACATGGCGTCGGTTGCTACTCATCATCATGTGTCAGATTCTTTGCCATTAAAGTTACTTAAAAAAAATAGGCCCCTCTTATATATGTATTAATATGTGAAGCAAAAACTTTGTACCCCTTTTTACGAGAGTTGCGCAACGAACTATGATCTGATATGATACGAATGAACTATGAGTGAGTGTGTGAATGAACAACTAGTATGAAATTTCGTACACTTTTACTTTATATTGAAAAATTCTAATATT